AGAGTTTTCAGTGACTAGCGATTCGGAAGTAGTTTGTCACTCTTTCTTCCTAGTCTGTCTTTGGAAGCTCATCTGAAACCTGTCCACCATGGGTGACCATGCTGGTTATTTAAAATACCGGTGGCATAGCCCTCAGAATCATAGCAATTCAAACCACCACAGCACGACAGACAGAAGAGTGGCGGTTGCATGGTTGCTGTTAAATAGGAATCTCCTTGTGCTAGGGCCCTTAAGTCTGGCTCAAAGGCGGGATTTCTGTCCTTGGATGTCAATCAAGAGGCAGAAGCGCAGCAGGAGCGACTGGGTTGTAGTGAGTCACTTTGGGCTGGGCTTGTGGGTCTCTAAGTGGGTCAACTCCACCTCAAAGGCACGATCCAATGGTTAGGCTAGGAAGGCACTCTCTCCTCAGGGGTAAGTAAGACAGCCTGGCTGGCCCCTGCAGTCTCTTCCCGCTAGGCAGCATCTCCCCATCGACCTGGTCTTCAGACACCTCTCACCCCGCTGCTCCATGATGTGGGTTTCATTTAATACCTCCACCAGGTCTGCGCAGTTCTCACACATCATTTAGCCGCCGCCCTCTATGATAGAAGCCCTCGCGCTCTGTCATTAGAATAGTTTCCAAAAAAAAAAAAAAAAAAACCAGAGAGAGAGTGGTTTCCAAGGTGATCTGATGGGCTAATTAAATTCAAGACAGACAGATAAGCCCAGAAGGTTATAATATCTGTTCCTTAGGATTTTCTTGAAGGACATGGGATGATGTTTTAAGAAAATGGAAAACTACACAGGTGAGCAAAAGGCCAGGAAAATTGCACTGAGGAATTTTTTTTCATCATGACAATGCACCTGTTTATTCTTCAAGGATAGAAATGTTGCTTGCCCTAGAGAATTTCACTGGGGAATCTTGCCCTATCCACCCTACAGCCCTGATTTTGTGCCATGAAGGTTTCTTTTTGTTCCCCAAACTACTCAAAAGAACATTTGACAAGAAACACAATTTAAGTCTTTTGAGGATGCCCAAACTGATATTTTGACATGACGTAAACTGAAGAATTCTTTGGGGAAGGGTTAGAGATGGAAACACTGCCTTTAGAAAGTATATGGCTCTAGACAGAGACTTTATCAACAAACACTAGCTTTACATTTCGACATTTTTGTTTAATAAAGGCTTCCATTATTTTGTAGCAATACTTTGGACTTAGCCTAGTATAATCCACTACCATCAAGTCATTCTGACTCACAGCAACTCTATATTGTTGCTAAGCGCTGTCGACTTGGTTCCAACTCACAGTGATCCTACGTAGGGTTTCCAAGGAGCGGTTGGTGAACTGAAACCGCCGACCTTATGGTTCAAGAGGTCCAGTGCTTTATCCCACAGCACCACACCAGAGTTTCTGGAACTGTAAATTTTTAAAGGAGCCTCATCTTTCTCCTGTGGACAAGGTGGTGGATTTGCCACTGACCTTGTGGTTAGCAGTCCCACATCAAAACCACAGCATCACCAGCGCTCCTTTCTCCTTGTATATACTATAACAAGCTTGGCTATTTTAACAGTTTTTTAGCACACAATTCTGTGACATTAATTATATCAATCATGCTGTATAACGATCACATTATATCCACTTTCGAGTCTTTCACCACCCCAAGTAGAAACTTAGTACCCTTTCAGCTATAACCCCATTTTTCCCTTTCCCCTTAGCTATATATATTTATATATATATATATTTATGTAAACAGAAACCTTTATCCATCTACATATTTATAGACAAACAGAGACCAGGCTTCCTCCTTGGGAGTGTGGGTCAATATTTTATCATGGCCACACTGAGCTGAGGAGGGGATGGGGTACAGGTGAGTAGAAGACCAAAGCTTTCCTACTATTTGTATGTTACCTTTTTCTGGTTTCCAGAGTTTTGCCAACTATCTATTGATGAAACCATTATTGTTATCTTTAGCAAACAACACTTAAGCGAACTGAGGGAGCATCAAAAAGTTTGTGGAAAATGCCATGAAAAGATAATGGACTTTTTTACAGACTTTTTGAAGCCCCCCTCACAAAGTATCAGGTGCCATCAAATCAGTCCTGACTCTTAGTGACCCTATGTACAACAGAATTAAACGATGCTCGGTTCCGCGTCATTTTTACAATTGCTGTGATGCTTGGGCCCATTGCTGCAGCCACTATGCATCCCATTGAGGGTCTTCCTCTTTTTCACTGACCCTCTACTTTACTGTGTATGATGTCCCTCCTGAAAACATGTCCAAAGTAGCAAAGAGGAAGTCTCATCATCTTCACTTCTAAGGAGTATTCTTGCTGTAATTCTTCCAAAGCAGATTTGTTTGCTCTTCTGGCAGCCCATGGTATATTTAATATTCTTCACAAACACCGCAATTCTTGCCTGGTTTTCCTAATTCATTGTCCAGCTTTCAAATGCATGTGAGGTGAATGAAAATACCAAGTTTTGGGTTAGGTGTACCTTAGTCCTCAAAGTACCATCTTTGCTCTTAAACACTTTAAAGAGGTTTTTTGCAGAAGGTCAGGCCAATGCAATACATCATTTGATTTCTTGACTGCTGCTTCAGTCAATGAGTGGCGACTGTAGGTCCAAGTACAATGAAATCCTTGACAATGTCGATATTTCCTCTGTTTAACATGTTGTTGTTTACAGGCTTGTTGAATTTAACTTGATTCCTGTCATCTCTTGCCCAAACAGGCTCCATCTCCAGTCTTTCTCTGTTCACTAAATGGTTACCATCCTTCACCAACTCTGTTCTGGTTACAACTTAGCTTAAACGCTTCTTTTCCTCATGTTCCACATCTAATTTATAAGTCATCAAAAGTATTTTAATTTACTCAGTCTTTACATTAGATTGAATCTAGCTTGGTTGTCATTTTTTCTAAAAACATTTCCCAATTAAATTGCTATCTATTACTTGCAGTTTTTCCTTAACATTTCTTTAGTATAATAAGCCTTATTCTAACTATCAAAAAGACCCTGTACCATAACAAACAGCTATCAGAAGAAACAGCTTCTTTACTTAGTTATCACAAAAGCAGAAGTCTCATTTGCACCGTGATAATGAGAAACCATCTGTAATTCAAATGAGCTATGAATAAGTCATCAGATGCCAACAGTAACTGAGTGCTGTTGAGTCATATAGTTACCCTATGGGACAGAGTAGAATTGCCTCATAGGGTTTCCAAGGCTGTAAATCTTTATGGAAGCAGACTGTCACATCTTTTCTCTGGCAAAATGGCTGGGTGGGTTGGAACTGCCAACCTTTTGGTAAGCAGCTGAGTGCTTTAAACACTGTGCTACTAGGATTTCTTGATTCCCACAATGTTTTTCTTGTTGTTAGGGGCCGTTGAGTTGATTCTGACTCTTAGCGACCCTGTATAGGGTTTCTGAGGAGCAGTTGGTGTGTTTGAGCCACCAATCGTGTGGTTAGCAGTCCACCGTCACACCAAGACTCTGTTCCCAACAATCATACAAATATATCTCCGAATCTAACAGAGGAGTCCTGGTGTGGCTCTGTAGGATCAGCACTGGTTTGTTGGCAGTTTAAACTTACCAACTGCTTCTCAGAAACATGATACAGCAGGGGTGAGGAACCTTTTTTCTGCCAAGGGCCATTTGGATAATTATAACGTCACTGAATACAAAATTATGTTGCTATGAAAAAAGCTCCTACATTTACAGAACACTGGTCAGGGGGACAGAAATTAAACAGAAGATGCTTATTTTCTTTACCCAGACATAAAATCACTCCAAGTTAAAATGGCTTAATATGGAAACAATCCAATTGAATCATTTGTTACAGCATGAGAATTTTCAAAGCAAATTGGAGATTCCATTCTGAATTTAAGAGGACTATGAGAGAAAGATGAGGCATTCTACTCCCGTAAAGATTTACACCCTCGGAAACCCTGTGCAGGGTCGCTATGGGTCGGAACCGACTCAACAGCACATAACAACAACATGATGATATGAGGAGTCCTGGTGTGGCACTGTGGGTTAATGCGCCAGACTGCAAAGTTGTTTGAACTGCAAGGTTCAAGCTCACCAACTGCTCCTTGGAAACCCTATACAGGGTCGCTATGGGTCGGAATCGACTCAACAGCACTTCACAACAACAACGATGATATGATGATACAGGAGTCCTAGTGTGGTCCTGTGGGCTAGTATGCTGGACTGCAAAGTCACTTGAACCACAAGGTAGGTGGATCAAGCTCACCAGCCTCTATTTGGAAACCCTATACAGGGTCACTATGGCTCGGAAACAACTCGACAGCACTTAACAACAATAACATGATGATACAGATTTCCTGATGAACTCAAACCCTCTACTTTTGCAATAAAAGAAGGCAAAGATATTATCTGAAACATTACAGGAGGGATTTAGGCAAAAAATTAAGACTGGAAGGACTGATAGACACTACAAGGTCTAGGTGATTAAGGGAAAACTGAATATTCTTTCCTACTCAGAATACCAAATCAACAATTGTTTTTCCCAAAGAGTAATTAACTTAACATGGAATTACACAGAAGTTACATAAATTATTACACTTCAAGAGTTTGGAGGTCACAAGGTCTAAGGTTTCCTTCCTTGAACTCACCAATCCTGAGCATGGTTACTAGCTTCCTGAGGTGGGAGTGGGCTTGCTAATCGAGACACTTGAATCCAAACCGCATCATACAGGTCTTTCTTCCGAGTATGTACAGTACAAGGAACAATGAGTGGCATTCCAAAGAGGCTGGGGCGATTCTTCTGAGATGACAGGAAGTAAAGTTCTGTCCTCATCTATACATACAAACAAAGAGAAGAATGAGCTGATTAAAAACAGGCCTGAGCCCTCTCTCCTCCTTCCTTTTTCCATGATTGCCAATGGCACACAATACTACCACTTTCAAATGAGTCATGACTATACTCATTTTATTTCTGAAATCATCTTTAGGAATATGAAGTTTGAAAGGTATTGCCAATTTTAGAGTTGTTGCCAACATGGTTTTCAGCCCGTAATATTTTCAAGCTATGGCTTTCTCTGATAAGCATTTCTCACATACTGAATGAATCACATGTAAAAACGAATAGTTTCATAGATCAAAACTCAAGTAATTAAACAGTTTTTATAGGAAATATGACAGTGTTATGGATTAAATTGTGTCCCCCAACAATGTGTTACAAATCCTAATTCAATTCGATGCCAGTGGTTATAATCCCATTTGGGAGTCTTTGTTATGTTTATGAGATAGGATTAGTGTAGAGTGTATCTTAAATCAATATCTTCTGAGAAATTAAAGAGATTAAATAGAGAACTATATGGGGCACATGCCACGACACATGGAGACTGCCAAGGAACCAGGTAGCAGAAACTGAATGAGACAAGGACTTTGCTTCGAGAACTGACAAAGAAAGAAAACCTTATCTTACAGAAAGAACAAAAGGAAAGAATGCTGCCTGCATCTTGGAATTCTACAGGCAGAAGACAGGTCAAAGGAGCTATTATCTGTTACTCTCCAAGAAGAAGAAGAAGAAGAAGAAGAAAAAAAAACTATCTTTGAAGTAAAGGTGGAGAATCAGCAGAACTGTTGGAAGGAGAAAGGAAGCAGAGCTGCCCTGATTTCAAACGGTGGGACCAAGGCTTGCTGAATTTCACTGGATGGGGCCATGACCTTCTACGTTTCAAAGAGACAGATCTTCACCAACATAAGACTGCTGTTCATGAGTGCCAGGGGGACAGGGCCTCTGGCCAAAACTGAAAAAGAGAGTCGGGGTCTGCCAGTCAGATGATTAGGAGAATGGGGTCTAAAGTCAAGGGAAAAGATTTGTCAACCCAGAGGGAACAGAAGCCAGGCCTGAAACCCATGACCAAAGGACTTCTACCCAGAATCCAAAGGGCATGGCTAACACCCAATCTGGGGGCAGGACCCTTGGCCCAGGACCTTCGCCCAAAAAAACCAGGATTATATCCAAGCCTTTAGAGCTCATCTAAATTGTTCTGCTGAGGGTTTGGACTTGCTTGGTGCCCATTATCCTTTCTTTTTCTCTAACATCTCCCGTTTGTAATGGAAATGTTCACCTTGTGCTTGTTCCATCACTGACTTTGGAAACAACCTGTATTCTAGATTTCACAGGCTCACAAATAAAGACGAATTTTGCCCTAGGATGTTGTTGTTAAGTGCTAAGGAGTCTGTTCCTACTCACAGCAACCCTGTATTGGGTTTCCAAGACTAAATCCTTACGGGAGCAGAAAGCCTTATCTACTGTCAGCGGGAACACTATACAGGCTCACTATAAGTTGCAGTCCAATATGTAACCCACTATACTACCAGGATGGAATACACCTAAATCTCTCCCATATTTGATTTAGATGATTCAGATGATATAATTTAGGACTTATAGTTGATTTATAAGTACCTCTGGTAGCACTGTGGTTACGAGTCGGGCAGCTAATCTTAGGGTTAGCAGTTTGAAACTACCAGCTGTTCTGAAAGGAGAAAGATAAGGCTTTCTGCTCCCGCAAAGATTTATAGGCTCAGAAACTCTATACAGGGTCACTAAGAGTTGGAACCGACTCCACAGCATATAACCACTACCACCAGTTGATTTATGACTTCTGGCATGGTGTGAGAGGGTGAATATGTTTTCCATGTGTGGAGGGCATTTATTTTGTGGGGATACAACCCCATTTGGGAATGTGCTGTTTAAGCTATATAAATGAAGTTGGATTAGTTTTGTTGTTGTTGTTATGTGCCATGGAGTTGGTTCCGACTCATAGCGACCCTGTACAGGGTTTCTGAGGCTGTAAATCTTTACGGGAGCAGAAAGCCTCATCTTTAACAGCTGGTAGTTTCAAACTGCTGACCTTGTGGTTCACAGTCCGATTCATAACCACTATGCTACCAGAGCTCCTTAGGATTAGTTTAGGTGTGCTGAAGTCAATCTCTTTTGAGATATAAGAAGAGGCTAAATACTAGCTAGCAAAAGTTGGGATAAGATAGATGCCGAGAGAGTAAGCAAGAGAAAGTCTTCCCCAAGAGTTGAACACTGCTGAACTGGCTTTCTAGCCTTTAAAGAGGAGCCCTGGTGGCACAGTGGTTAATCACCAGCTGCTAATCAAATGGTCAGCAGTTTGAACCCACCAGCCACTCTGCAGGAGAAAGATGTGGCAGCCTGCTTCTGTAAAGATTTACGGCCTTAGAAACTCTCCAGGGTGGTTCTACCGTGTTCTACAGTGTTCCTATGAGTCAGAATTGGCAGAGGGTTTGGTCTTTGGTCTGGTTTAACCTACTAAACATTGAGAAAATGAATGTTTGTTAATAACTATGCACTTGTGGTATTTGTTATAGTAGCACCAGATAACCAAGCTAGCCAGTAAATGGAAAAACGTCCTCAAAATGAAATTTTCTCAGGATAAGTAGCTGAGCATTTGTATTCTTCAAACTTCCCAAACATTAAGGGACTTGTGAAATCCAGTTATTTAATTACATTACTACTTGTTACACTCCTAAAAGCAGCTAATGGCTTATTATTTAAAAAAATATATATTATAGAATAAAAAGTACATTACAATTTTAACTGAAGAATATTAAAAAACAATTATAATAGTGCATCAATAGTGACTTTCCAGAAATTCAAGTCAGATTCAGAACGAGGGAAATCATTGCTGATACCAGATGGATCTTGGCTGAAAGCAAACTATGGATAGAAAATATGGTGAAAAATGTCAATTCCGGAACATTTAACTGTGGTCATGTGGAACCTGTATGGAGGCCAAGAGGCTGCCATTCAAACAGTACAAAGGGATACTGCATAGTTTAAAATCACGAAAAGTGTACATCAGGGTTGTGTATTCTTTCACCATATCCATTCAGCCAGTGTGCTGAGCAAGGGAGCCCTAGTAAGGTGCTATAGGATCAGCATTGGACTACTAACCATAAGGTTGGCAGTTCAAACCCACCAGCCGCTCCTTGGAAACCCTATACAGGCTCACTGTGAGTTGGAACAGACTTGAAGGCATTTAACAACAACAAAAGTGAGCAAATAATCTGACACTCTGGACTATGTGAAGAAGAACCTGGCATCAGGATTGGAGGAAGAATCATTAACAACCTGTGATATGCAGACACAATCTCTTTTGCTGAAAGTGAAGAAGACTTGAAGCACTTACTTACTGATAAAGATCAAAGACTATTCGGTATGGATTACTCTTCAACAACAGAAAATAAAACAAAAATCTTCACATCTAACCCAATATGTACATCAGAAAACTAAAAATTGCCAAGGATTTCACTATATTTGGATCCACAATCAACAACCATGGAAGTCGCAGTTAAGAAATCCAAAGATTTGCACTGGGTAAGTCAGCTGCAAAAGACCTCTTTAAAATGTTAAAAAGCAAAGACATCACTTTGAGGAGAAAGGTCAGGACAAGCTTAGCCATTGTATTTTCAATTGCCTCATATACATACAAAAGCTGGACAATGAAAGGAAGGCTGAAGAACTGATGTCTTTGAATTATGGAGTAGGCGAAGAATTTTGAATATAGAATTTTGAATTTTGTCAGTAGAAGAAAGAAAGTTGTTTTGGAAGAAGGATAGCCAAAAAGCTCCTTAGAGGTGAGGATGAAAACCTCTATCTCCTATACTTTGGACATACACCAGGAGGGATCAGTCCCTGGAGAAGGACATCATGCTTGGTAAAGTAGAGGGTCAAATAAAAAAAAAAGAAGACGACCCTCAATGAGATGGATTGATACAGTGGCTGCAACAGTGGGCTCAAACACAGTAACAATTGTGAGGATGGTGCAGGGCTCAGCAGTGTTTCGTTCTATTGTCAGAACTGCAAGGTCCATGGTTCAAACCTACCAACCACTCTTTGGAAACCCTAAACAGGGTTGCTATGAGTCAGTACTAACTCTATGGCACTTAACAACAAAAAGTCAGAACTGCCTCAATATCATTTAATATCAACAACAAAATTGAAAAATATCTGCAATGAGTATGTTAAGGATATTTTTATGATATTCCTAAATATAAAGATATTGCATGGAAATGGAATTGGTTGCTTCATAAAATGAAAGTTTAGTATAACAGAGAAATTGGTGGTAGTTCAGGACTGCTGAAAAAGCTCCTGAACACTTGGGCATTTATTTTAAAAGTTTGGACTGACGTAGTAGTTAGAAAGGCTACATCAACAACATATACATACACTCAGAAACTAGGGGATGGCTAGTTTCCAAGTGAAAATGGAGGGCCCTCCTTTTTTTCAGATTTGCAAGCATTTGATTTTATAATTCTTCATTTCTTGTTGTTGCTGTTAAGTGCTGCTGAGTCAGTTCTGACTCATAGCTACTCTGCATTTCCAAGGAGTAGCTGGTGGGTCTGAACTGCCAATTTTGAAGTTAGCAGTCCAGTCATTTAAGCTTATCTAAATACATGCTTTTAGACTCCATTCAGTTTAAAACTAAAATCTAAAACTTAAATTAATCCTCTTATGTAGCTAAACATTTTTTTTTTTAGAAGTTGTAAATTGAGTGAAGGTTTACAGACAAGATGATCAGTTTTGCATTCAACAAATCATGTTTTGTTTTTTTTTCCATCTCAATGATGACAATCCCCTCCATGCAACAAGCTATTTTGTTTCTTCCTGTGGTTATCCATGTACAGATATTCTCTTGAAAATGCTCACATATTTGTGAAATATATAAATATATATGTATCCCACTCTTTCTCCCATACTCATTCAGCCTGTGTCTCTGTTCATGCCATCTACACACAGAACACTGTTGCTCCAGGGTTGTGTGTATCTATCTATCCATCTATCACCATTTACCTCTATCTGCTTTAGCCCTTGCATAGCTCCCTGTAGATTAGTTCTTTTCTCCTTAAATTTCCACTTTTAGTCTACTGCAATGATCAACAAATGACATATTTTACTAATTTATAAATGAGATCATTTAAGCAACAGTCTCTCACTTCTATTCTTTTCAATCCATTTCTTTTCTAATCCCATGCAATTTTCATTTACTTGAAGGTAACTCTTCCCAGTACCAAGTGGTCCATACTTGCTCACTTCCTTGAAGCATGATGCTCCTAGTTCTATCTCCCTAGAAGGTTTCCCTTTGTCCTCTCCTAACAACCTTTTCTCTCACCTGAAAACTCACTTAAGTCTGCCCAATGTGCACTTGATTTCTTTATTTGGATACACACTGCCACACTTTTCCCAGTTTTCATTCTTTTCAACTTCTCTGACTCATGTAATCAATCACTTTTTTCTTTCTTGAAATTGGTTTGTCATTTAGCTGTTATATTAATGGAATATTTCTCCCTTTACCTCTCTGAACAATCTTGCCTATATTGCCTTGCTTTACCATGCAGAAAGAAGCAGAAGGAAAATAAAATGCTTTAAAAATAATTGAAATGGTCTGAAAGGTGGCAATGAACATGAAGAATTCATGAATTCGAGTAGTATTTCAAAAGAAGAAATTAAAGAGCACAGTGATACACTGAATATGGACTTTTATAAGGAAAAAAATCTAAACACATGCTGTTTTCAGTCTTTGACATAGAAGAACGGTGGTGTCTTTAACATAAATAATGAGAAAGGAAAGGAAGTTGGCTTAAGAATTGTGTAGAGGCAGTGTCTGACCTCTGACCTCACAAAAGGGAAGGAGAATCAAACTTAACATCAGCCCAAGGCTGGGTTCTAGGAGGCAGAGGTCACATATGCTACCACATTCTTGCTCCAGCCTTCTTTACCAATTCTGATACCAACTGTACCTCCCACATACTATTTTTCTGCTGGGATCAACAATTCATTGCCAATGGCGACCTAGAACTCACAGATTGTAATCATGATTACGCAGTTTATTAGGGAAGTGAACAAGGTACAATTCAGGATCAGAAACAACTGAGGAGACAGCAGCTCTCTGATCCGCACAACTCTTTCCAACTGTGCCAACAGGAATGCTTCTCAGTCCTGTGGTCTTTTGGTCTCTGTCCTGCTCTAGCAATGTTACGAAGCTCCTTTGGCGTTGCAGTCTAACACAGTGCAGTGGCATTTTTAAATAAAATAAGCCACTGCCATCAAGCTGATTTTAGCTCACAGCTACCTTACTGGATAGGGAGGGATGAACTGCCTACAGTCTCCAAGGCTGTAATTCTTACAAACAAACTGCCACACCTTTCTTCCCACACAGCAGCTGGTGGGTTTGAACCCTGGACTTTTTGGTTAGCAGCAGAGTACTTTACTACTCTGCCACCAGGAATCCTGTTGTTGCTAAGTGCCACTGAGTCAGTTCTAATTCAAAATGACACCGTAAGGGGTTTCCAAGGCTATAAAGATTTGCAGGAACAGAAAACCTCATCTTTCTACCTGGTGAGCTCAAAAGGCTGACCTTGTGGTTTGCAGTCCAGTGCATATTCCACCAGGAATACTGTTGCTGTTGCTAAGTACCACTGAAGTTTGTTCCTACTCATAGCGACACTGTATAGGATTTCCAAGGAGTGCTTGGTGGGTTTGAACTGCTGACTTTTTTGAACTTTGGTTAGGCAGTCCAGTGCTTATCCTATAGAGCCACACCAGGACTCCCCCAGAAGTCCTAGTGATATCTTAATGTGGTTTTAATGAACATTTATTTCCCTGATTACTAGAGAGGTTGATCACTTTTTCATAAGTTTATGGGCTATTGGGATATTCATTTTGTGAAGTGCCTATTCAAGTATCTGGACCATTAAATTTTTCTTTTTTGTACACAGTCATCTATTTGATTTGAAAACATGGACCGTCAATAGTATTTCACTGTTTTCTATATAGCTGTCTTATCTATCATTTGTTAAATGTATTTCTAAACACTTGATTATTTTGATGCTATGACAAATGGTATCTGTAGTAAGTTACACAGCGGCCCCACAAAAGAGATGTTCCTATCCTCATCCCCCAAATCTGTGAATGTGACCTTATTTGGAAAAATAGTTTTAGCAGATGAAATTAAATTAAGGATCTCAAGATGAGATCATTCTGGATTATCAGGATTGACTCTAAATCAAATTCAAGTGTCCTTATAAGAGAAAGACAGACGAAAAGACCTTTTATAGATGGGATTGGATTTATGCAGCCTCAAGTCAAAGAATTCCTGGACCCCCCGAAGCTGAAGAGTAAAGGAAGAATTTTCCCCCTAGAGTCTTCAAAAGGAGCATGGACCTGACAATGACCTTGGATTTGGACTTCTGGCTCAAGAACTGTGAGAAAACAAACTTTTGTGACACAAGCCAACACTATAGTACTAGAACCTAAAACAATTCCTTTTATACCATTTCATTTTGTCTTGTTCCTGTTATATGACTAAAATACTTGGGGTTTTTTGCATATTGATCTTGTATTCAGCATTCTTAAACTCAACTCAGTTCATCTGCTTTTTAAGTGAGCAAAGTACAATACATTTTATTCCATGAATACAATAGTAAGATGGGAATAAAAACTAAAAAGAAAAAAAAAACGAAACCAGAAAAATTCACCTATAACACAATACAGAAAACAGGAGCCAAAGACTGAGGAGAAGAGTAAGCAAATCCTGAAAATAATAGAGAGAAGAGACAGCCAAACTTGAGATCTCCTGTGATGCCAAGTTAAACTGTTTTAGTCCGATTTTGATGTTCACTTTGTTTTAATCATCACTGAAAATTATAACCAGAACACTAGAAAGACTTTTTGAACCAAGGCAAGATTCTCTAGCAGCCCTAGGGTTTTATAAAATTGGGAAACTGAGGCTTACAGAGCTCAATTAGCTATCTATCTAGTGGCAGAATTAGAACTAAAGCCCAGGTCACTCAATTCCTAGTAGTCCAGGGCTACTTGTACTCTACCAAATTACCATGATCTATGATTAGCTCTTAAACAAATTTTCTATTCACCAATGTTTCATACTCCCCTTTGTTTTTATTAAACAATACGCCTTTAATACAATAGCTATAAATGTGTCTCTACTATGCATGGGGATTATGCACACTTCTTGCTTGAGAACACTTTAGCATCCTAAAAAAGAAAAATATACCTTCTTCCTAGGTATCCACACTTATGTGGCAGAGAAGATGCACCTATCTACACAAATAGGTTGCTGCTAGTCTGTTTCAATTCAGAGACCCCATGTGTCAAAGCAGAACTTCCCTATAGGCTGTTGTCTTTAGTAGAAGACTATCAGGTCTTTCTCCCATGAAGTTTCTGGGTGTGTCTGAATCCCTAATCTTTCAGTTTGCAGTTAAGCACGTGACTGTTGAGCCAACAGGACTTCTAACATGAACATACAGGAGACATGGACATACTTCAGAAAGCAAGACTCTAAAGCACCAGCTATCCAGTTAAGCCTTAACAGAGTGAAGAATACCATTTCCTATGCAGTCATCAACCAGCTGCAATCACTTACATCACTTTATGAAAAGTAATTCAATGAAGATATTGCAAAGACAGAAAATGACTGTGCCTTACAAATGAGACTGACAAGATTAACAGTAATTTGGCTAAGATTTAACGAACCATTTTTCGGTGGACTGCAATGATGTAGCCTGTAAAGGGGTTGTCAGGGAGAGATGGCGTATGACCATTCACCATTCCATTTGTGAAGTTCTTCTCAGTTCCACATGGCACAACAGTATTTGGCATTCCATTGGGGATGAATAGTGGTCGGGGCAAGTCTCCATTGGTGGTTAAGGTGAACATTCCATTTGTAGACGGGGAAGAGGAGCAATCTATAAATTCAAAGGTAAGGACAGTACCATAAGCACTTGCGGAACACCTTTATCTTGGCTATTTTCTCAAGAAGGGATCCAGACTATTTACGGTGCAGTTCCTCGGAACACAGGGAAGTCAGAAATCATAGCTCAGATAATAATTCTAGGTTGACTGGAAGATACTAATTTCACATTTACCTTAACTTACAAATAAATAAATTGCAAAGTAAGAGTGCTGGAAACAGGAAGTAGATTTTTGCAGAATTCTTTATCAGCAACACGACACGGCACACAAAGAATTCTACCACCTGTTTTCTTTTTGGTATTCCTCTACGTCTTTACTTCTGCTCTGTAGTGTATATGGTAGCTTTGAGCCAGATGCTGCTTTTTAAAATAAAATACAATATAAAAATCATTTCCTCAGTCTCATTAGCCACATTTCAAGTGCTCAGCAGTCATTTCAAGTAGCTACTGTATTGGATGGTTTAGACTACAGAAAATTTCCATTATTTCAGAAAGTTTTACTGGACAGGACTGCTCTAAATAAAAAGCAACAAGAAATCATCCACCAATCCATCACTAGTCCTACCGACTAAGTGCCAATTGAGAGGACCCTCTAAAAAACTTAGAAAGGATTCACTATCTTGATATTCAATCTCTGAGATCCTGTATAGTTGGGGAATAAACTTAATTATCAGCAATAAAAAGAAATGGACAAAACATACCCATAGCTGAAACATTCAACGAGTTACCATATTAAATCATATGTAATATTAAAAGTAAACTACTTAGCTATATTTATGCTTATTTTCTGATAGCATGTTTCTCTCATACCATCTGAGGCCATGTTAGCATTGGATGAAAGAGTTAAAAGTGTCCTGACAAGGGTGAAGAGCAGAAAGCGGGACAGTACCCAGAGAAGCAGTGATGCCTGAGATGGAGGCAGAGACTATGACCTGGAGAGATGGAGCAGTTGGGGACTTTAGAAACAGAGAGGGAGAGGGGCTGTGTGCTGACAACCGGGGGGCAGGCTTGTAGTTTATAATCTTTGGTTGGTTGATAATGCATGGAGGGGATTGTAACCATGGCAATGAAACGATATGCGATAGGATGAATGTAAAGCTAATGTTCTCCCATGTAAACTATCACATAATTCATAATAAAACATTAAAAAAAAAGTGTTCTGAATTCCAGTGATAGATTAGCTAGTAACTAGCTATTTAACAGTCAATTAGGATCTTGGATTTTAGATTCCTCATCTATACAATATGAAACGAGCCAAATGACCATTAAAATTTCCTTCTAGCTCAAAAATTCATTTGTTCTAATATCCTCAGTGTAAAGGAATATAGAAACTACTCACTCTAGGGCCTATTTTTGAAGCTGAGATTGGGAGTAGAAACTTACCTGTCTGTATTGGACTGGAAGCTGAAACGGGAGATCCAGGGATGGGAACCTCAAATGCACAGAGAAATCCACTCACTGAGAGTCGTACTTTTTGGTTGTCCTGAGGGAAGTTCTAGAAAAAAAGAAGCAAGATGAGATGGGAGACACATTAAAACAACTATTGAGTACTTTTTCTCAACCAACTAAAAGATAATTACTGAAAACTAACCTTAATGCTATCCCACAAAAAACCCCCATCATACCTTTCCACAGGAAGTATATTATGTACAATTAACTTCTCAAGTTTTGTCCTCTACCTCAAGCATTTAAATCCAAAACCCTTAGAGAGATCTTGCCTTTGCATTCATATGAAGTAATTATCAGTGAGGTAGGAAAATTTGATCAGAAACCTCAAAGACACCAACAGCAGGAGCTTAACTTTGTTGTTGTTATTGAGTGCCATTGAGTAGGTTCCAACTCATGGTGGCCCCATATAGGGTTTCCAAGGAGCACTGGAGGGTTTGAACCGCCAACCTTGTGTTTTATTTATATATATATATATACATATATAGATAGAAACTTCTTACTGTGAATTAAGTAGAGGTTTACAGAGCAGATCATCACTTTGTTTCATCTCAATAATTGCAATCCCCTCATATAATAACAGTTAACCCACTTTCTCCCTGTGGTTCCCATTCCCATTCCACCCTTCTCAATTTTGTCCTTTGATAAATGTTGCCCTTTTGATCTTGAATGGCTGACCATTCAATGGTGAGTACACCTTACTAGAGCTATTGTTCCCTCATAGACCTATCTACAACTGAGCTGCAGGGATGAGTTTTGCTCCAGACCTGAAGGGTGGTTGAGGGCCAAAGTCTTGAGTTTCTCCAGTCTCTTTCTGACCAGTAAGCATAGTCTTTTTTTTATAATTTTGAGTTTTGTTTTCCATTTTCTCCCACTCTATCTGGGACTATCTAGTGTGACCCCTTTTTAGACGAACAGGCTATATATTTATTAAAATATTTTTGTTTGGTTGTTTTTATTCACTAATTCCTTCTTGTGTTCAAAGGCCAAGTATACATATTCACAAAAATATTCAAGCACACACATTCATAACTACATAAAGTAACTTAAACTAGGAAGGATTATATTACAATTAGTTTATCACAATAGTGATACAAGAGGGTTCTCAAGTGACACAGTAGCAGTGTGGGGGGGGGACGACCTGGTTTGGAGTGACACAACTAGATTACTCTATATAAGCAAATGGCATTTCCATTATTTTCCATCTTTAAAACTACCACACTGTTGTTGTTAAGTGTTGTCAGGTTGATTCCAACTCATAGCGACCCCTGGATACATTTTTCAAGGCTTTCTAAACTTTCTGCAGAAGCAAAACCCTTCATCTTTCTTCTGTGGAGCAGCAGGTAGGCTCGAACCACTGACCTTGTAATGAGCAGTCCAGTGCTTATTGTGTGGAGCCACTGTGCTCCTGTACCTATGTTCTAGTAGATAACCTTTTAAAATTTCTGGGTTGGAAACCTTGGCAAGCCTTTTTTTGTTGTATTTTATTATCTCCCTTGGTTATATTTTAAATAATTTATCTACTAACATTTTAAGAATTAATAAAACTATGATCTTTGAAGGATGGATCCAGGTTTCCTAGATGGCGTTGTCAATATTACCTTTATGTTGGAACTATGTACTTCTGCAAGAAGGATTTGTTCTGATTTAAGTCCACAGAGATCACTCAGCTGCTTTTTTAAACCTGTGTACTTTTCATCCATATTCAGTCTTAGTCCGTATCGTACAGGGGTAGTACCATCTAGCTTAATAACTGTGAAGGAGAGAAAGAGCTTTTATCAGTAACATGGAGGTTTCACTGAAAGTCTTGGATTGTAGACCAATATAGCAGACTTGCAAAAAGCAAACATTTCCATCAGAATTTTTATTTTATATTCAGAATGCTTCTACAGTCATTATTTTGGAATACTACTGAGCTAAAACACTATTTTTGATGTCAGCTGGTACAGTAGTTTTTGTTTTCTTTTTAACTGAGGTGAAATTCATATACAATTAACCATTTTAAAGGGGGCAAAGTCAGTAGTATTTAGTACATTCAGAATACTATACAAGCACCAGCTCTTTCTAAAAAGTTTTAAAACTTTCTCTTTAATCCCATAAAAATACCCCCTACTCATTAAGAAATCATTACCATTTCCTCATAGGTGCTGGCAACCACTGATCTGTTTTTTATTGCATGGATTTGCCAATTTTGGATATTTCATATGGAAAGAATCATGAATATGTGGCCTTTTGTATCTGGTTTATTTCACTTAACATAATAGTTTCAAGGTTCAGCCAAGATATAGGTAGTGTGTATCAAGACATCATTCCTTTTTATGGCTGAATAATATTCACTGTACAAATATACCATAATTTAGTCATTCACTGATGGACATCTGGGCTGTTTCCACCTTTGGCTCCTATAAATATTTGTGCACATGTTTATGTGTGAACAAATGCTTTCACTTTTTCTGAACATACACCTCGGAGTGGAATTACTGGACCCTATGGTAATTATGCTGTTAATTTTTCAAGGAACTGTTTAATCATTTTCCACAGTGACTGTATCATTTTATGTTCCCAGAAGCAATGGGCAAGGGTTCTGATTTCTCAAAATTCTCTCCAACTCTTAGTTTTTATTTTTTAGAGTATAGCTATCCTATGGGTGTGAAAGGGTGACTCAGTGTGGTTTTGATGCATTTCTTCAATGACCAATGATTTTACAAGGTTTTAAAGGAAGTTTCTGGCATATATGAAACTAAAAGAGGAATCAGTGGGTTTTAAAAGCTCAAGAACACTGAAACATATCATGTCTACATTTGGGTTAGGGTTTCCTCCTTAGATATTAGAGCTTAATTGTTTCCTATAGATGCTCTATTGTAGAAAAGGAAAGTTAGGTCATATAGTAGAATATTAGGTTCTCTTCTATTGAGCCTTGGACTGCCCATTTTTATCAGGCAGAAGCTTCAATATCCCAAATTTTTGAAGCCTCAAATCATACTTGAAACTAGGTTGGTAGATTATAACATGCTGCCTACTGATCTTTATGGGAACTCACTGCAAACCAACGACTATACATAACTAAGATGCTTGAATAAGGTAAAAGACAATGGAGTCAAATGATTTTTCAGAACTTTGTGACCCACCTGTTATTTCTAAGTGCATATAACTGTCCATTGGTAGTGGCAAAGACAAAAAATTGAAAGGGTCAAATCGAACACTTATATGCCCACATGTCTTGCATTTGACTTGGGATCTTAGCTGCCCATGGAACAAATCCACAACAATTGATCTATTCCTTCTCAGATGGTTGTCCCAGGCCTAGCAAGGAAAAAGAGCAAGGAAAAAGAACGTTTATTCCCTCCAAAAAATACAAAACATCAACATTTCTACATAAATTCAAAGAACTTGGTTAAATATACTGGTTTTAAATGTCAAGAATAAAATCCTTAATTTAAAATGAAAATTTAAATGCTTGTTGCCTACAAATTTACAATTCAGATAGATAGTTTAAAATGTATTATTTACAATTTTAGAAATTAGAGAAAACAACTATTAATAGAATGTGATTCTTTCTGCTCAATCTACTGTTGTTAGCTACCTTCAAGACATCCTGACTTCTAGTGACCCCCACGAAACCAACTGGTACAAATGCTGATGGTCCTGTGGCATTCCTGTTTGATTTGTTCTGTTCCCAGTTCTGTTCAATATGAGGGAACTTCAGAAAGCTCATGGAAAAATTCCATTATCTTTCAATTCCATTTTTTCAGACTTTTTGAAGCCCCTTCATACAACAGATATTAATTTTGCACGCAAAACCCTATTTTGTCTTTGTTTTTACCATGGCAACAATGATGAATACTAAAGCTCTCTGTCCATTAAAAAAGAGATAAAAAGTGTCTATAGGGCCCCCTGTAGGTACCACTCTGACGATTACGGACACTCTGGTGGAAATTAGACAGGATACTTACTAAGTATTCCCGCAGCCCCTCCAATAAAGTTGACAGTGTGATGTGGTAACATTTTTCTATATTTGTTAGAGGTGTTTTTGTTTTTGGTATTATTTTATAAAAATAAAGCAAGGGGATAAATAAATTCTTTGCTTTTACAATGAAATTCTAGTCACAGGAAAACTGCTGGACTCACATGTGGCTAGAATAATTAATCTATTGCTCACAGTGTAGAAACATATAACTGACAAACCTCTGCAGCTACTTCCCAGTCTGGTCGGCCATCACTGTCCTTCAGTTCTACATATGGCTTCTCATGGACTCGGTTAAGATCTTCATGAAGACCATCCAAGAGAAAAGCCAGAAGTTCTTGGGAATCTTGTTGCTGAAACCCATTAAACCTGGGAGCATATTTTGCTATGGTCCACTAGAAATATGAGAAATCAAAGTCATTATTCTTCAGTCATAACATTTGTAATGAAGTAAACAGTAACAGTATTGAGTGAGCTTCTATTTCTGCAAATTTATTTTGGGTAATTATCCAGTCTTTCTAGTCTTTTAACTTCAAAGCAGCAAACAAAAAATCTTGGCCAAGCCTAAGTGGTTCCAGTTTAGTAGCATGTAAGCAAATGGAGTACTTTCGGCACACAGACATTATTTAAGACAGAAATATCAAAATCACATTTGTTCACATTGTAAGACTTCCTGTCCTATGGAATATTTTCTTTCAGAGCTGGTTTTTTTGGTCTTTTTGCATCTTTACTTTCATTATTAGAGGCAGAATAGCAACTGTGAAGACTTGCTGAGTAGCTTGCAACCCTGGCCAACCTACTTAACTACTCTGTGCCTTAGTTTCCTGAGCTGCAAAATAGGGAAAATGACATTGCTTTACACTATAGTGTAAAATAGGGACAATGACATTGCTTTACACTATAGTGTAAAATAGGGA